GATCTGAGTTCCATGTTATTTTAGTTGTTGAGACCTGTCTATTATTCATTGGCTAACCCAGTTAAAACCCCATTTCCATGGGAGCTAGCTGATCTGTTAAAACTGTTAGAGGAAAAAAAAAAGTCTGCTTTGCAAATAAATAAAGTCATAAAACGTAAGCTCTGTTTTTCTGCAAGTGGTGTCTGGGCAATTGTAAACTCCATCCACATGTTTAATTAACAAGGAGGAAAAAAGGCAAGCTCTGGGCAGGGAGAGCTTCAGGAGGCAATTTTACTTTAGGTTCCTCATTTCAGAGGACTGGAATGGTAAGTGCTGAGTGGCTCTCTGTAGCAGCTGGTAGGAGGCTGGCAGAGAACAAAGCTCTGTTCCTGAAGCGCTTTATCAGCAGACATCTAATAACATGAGCAGACGACTGCAAATAAAACACAGACTCTCTGGAAGGAGTAGAACTACAGGATGCCCATATCTAAGGGGTAACAGTTGCAGCAATAAACATAATGTAATCACATGGATCACTTGCAAAATAAATTTGATTGACTGTTTTTTTAGGCTTACAATAAAATTAAAAGAGATCAAGCAATGGTTCAAGAGTTTTTATTAGAATTGCAGTAATTAGGAGCTTATTGCTTAATTTGCTTTATTCTAGTCGTATTTATTGTCTTTTATACTATTAAAATAACTTGACTCATTCACAAAAACATTTTATTAACAAAAGACTTGTTTCCACTTTGGAAACAAGTCTTTGATTATGATGAATGTCATGCAGATGTGTTGCTGCTGGCTGATGTGCAGCGTGCAGGTGTCAGCTGTCAGGTGTACTACCGGAGGATTATGGGTTAGTCTGCGCTCCGCCCCCATCCTATAATAACATCCACAGAAGCATGGCCACCTGCCGCCACATCTCAGAGGAGCTTGTTTCTTCCGATGCAAAGGAAACAGGAAGGCACCAAACTTTAAAAACCTGCTTCCAGACACACTAAATCCTGCTCTTCAGCTCGGTAACAACCAGCATTTAACTGAGCCGCACAGAAAAGGGCTGTCACACTGGCAGAGTCTAAGTGTTAAATTGACAAAAATACAAGCATACTGCCATCATTGCTATGAGTTTCACACTGTCATAAGTGTTTTAGAATATTTCATTCACAGCAAAAGTGAAAAATATACAAAACAGCATAAAATAACCCATTAAAGAACAATATCATGTATGAAAAGACGAAATTTGCTCCACTGTGCAAGCATGAAATAACATGACCATGTTTCTTCAATCTGCTCTTTACTATAGACAGATGGTTAATTTTCTATGCGTTTCCATTCCCAGCTGATCCTATTGATGTTCTGCGAGCGCTCGGGCTGTCAGAGAACATGGAGGGGGTGTCCTTGGAGGCTGGTCTCTGCACCAGCAGGACGGGCTCGGAGGAGATGGACCTGGCTTACAAGATCAAAAAGATCCAGCTCAGTGCTCCCACTAAACAGCTATACCCTGGTAGTGTCTGGGCTTTTTTTTTTTTCATTAAAACCACAGAACATCCTTTCTGTCCAATGCAGAAATGAATTTCTTTAAATGTTTAAAATAATTGAAATGTATCAAATTTAGTCAGTTTATTCTCAGTAAAAGTAAAAAACAATCACTAAACTTCTCTTATTTCACTTTCTAGGCACTCAGTGCTTTCATGGATAATATTTTTCATCATTATTTTTATCCAGGTCTCTCTGGCAGCGGGTGGTGCCTGCATGTTATGAAAATGTGTGCATCCTGCTGTGCTCGGCTCTTTGACTGAACTGCTCTCCTCTCCCCTCGTCTCCTGTCCTCTCCATCTCTAGATTCAAAATTTCCTGAGAATTTCTCCCTGATGACTACCTTAAGAGCTACAAAAGGCTCCCAGTTCTTCCTTCTCTCCGTCTACGATGACCAGGGGGTTCAGCAGCTGGGACTCGAAGTGGGACGGTCACCTGTCTTCCTGTATGAAGACCAGCACGGACAGCCCACTCCAGAACTATACCCCACATTCAGGAAAATCAACCTGGCTGATGGAAAGTGGGTAGTTTCAGGGTCTTTAACCTCTCTGTTAAATCAAACATTTATTGACTGAAAGACGAACAGCAATAATGTTTTTGATTGTGTGTGTGTTCATTTTTTTAGTATTAGCCAAAATGGCTATAAAACACTGGATGGATTGTAAATAAACTCTACATCTACAGTTGTACATCTAATTTTTGGAGTCAGTCTCATTCAATATGGCTGACACAGCTAAGTGATATTTGCAAACGTAAAAATGGTCAAAACTAAAGCCAGTCTTGCAGATGTCGAGCCAAAACTAAACAACCGATTGCATAAAGCGGGATGCTTTTAAACATTGCCATTACCAATTTGAGTCAAATGTGTTTGTTAGCCAAGTACCTCATGAGTCACTGGACCATAGTTAATGAAACTCTCAGTATGTATTCATTGGATGTTCATCTACAACTCTTTAAATTTTAAAGATGGTCACCACAGCTAACTGACTAGAAAACAGAAAAATGGCTAAAATGCATTCAGTTTTACAGATATTGAATTAATATTCCATGCAGTATCTGAGCGTTAGCTCCAGCACATGCTCTGAGAGCTAACACATCTTGCAACAACTTGCATGAGATTGCGCATAACGCAGCTTATAAGGTTTGACAAAACCTGTCCATTCTAGTCAGATGATGGTAGTTTAAAACTTTGGCATAAAAAGTAACAATTGAGGTGTGTTTCTGCAAGGATTACAAGGCTTTATAAAAATTAATTTTATGTGAATATGATGCTGTTTGTTTCCAATCCTTAAGTAGCATTTGAGTTGAGTCCTAAAGGTCCATGGAAAGTATGTAAACAGCATATTTGCAAAGCAAGGCCAGAGACGCTAGAAAAACTAACATTGTGCACAAAACCTCTAATTTGTCTTTGCTCAGTTTGCAGGATTAAATTAATAATCATCTCCTTTTGTTTTTCAGATGGCACAGGATAGCCTTCAGCGTGCACAACAAGTCTGTGACCCTATACTTGGATTGTGAGCGGGCGGAGACCCTGGATCTGGTGCGCGGAGACGATGCTGTGGTCAGCACCGAGGGGGTCACTGTGTTTGGAACACGCTTGCTGGATGAAGAAGTTTTTGAGGTTTGCTATTATGAAATAATCTTAGACACTGAAAATAAACAGTTTGTTTAAAAGTTCATACTATCATGTAGTTCATTTTTGTGTTTTTAAATTATATTTAGACAGACTTTGTGGGCGTGGTCAGGCAGCCAGCAAGAATGATCATTTTAACTGTCACGTTGTGACTAAACATTACAGCTAACTGCCAGTCATTGTGGGAGAGCCTTGTGAATTTTTGTGTAGACATAGACAAAGAAAAGTTACTAACATAAACTTTGCATTAAGCATGTGTGTGGGACGCTTTGTTTTACTGGGATAATATGCAGCGTTTATAAAATAAAAAAAAATCACAAAAAAAAGTGAGGCTGGGGATTTTCTGGGTATTGTGTGTGAATCTTGATTCATTTAGTTATTTGTCTACCTCATAAAACTACTTTCAATCAGTCAGATGCAGAGTTTGGTGTTGTTGAGTACTTACAGTCAGATAAATTAAACAATAATGGTTTAAATGCTTCTGTCTAAATTGATAATGACCAAGCTCTACTACCGTACTTGCCGTCGTATAAGTCACAGCAGTCCAAATATTTCTAATAAAGTGGAAAAAAAAAACAAATACGTCGCTTCGCTGTATAAGTTGCAGGCATGCTAATATATGGGGGAAAAAAACTGACATAAACAGCGAAGAATACGGTAGTTGTCAAGCTTTATTAATTTTCAAATTGTAATGAAAACTACAATTTGGAGAATGCCTAAAATCAAACGTTTGTGTATGACCATAGATTCTGTTGCATGCGATCCTATAAATTACAAAACAGCATTGTGTCAGTAAAACGCTAGCAGAAGAAGCAGATCTAAGAGGATATGTCTGACATTAAAGCTAAACAAAACAATCACTTGAAATACAAGGTGACAGGAGTCCCTTAAGAATCAGGTGCAACGTAAATAGGAGAAGTGAGGCGAAAAAGATCAGTTTCAGAGGTAGCAGGGAGGAGAGGATCCACTGTTCAGGCGTGCCTGGTCTCATCACTAAATTACAAAGTCAAGAAATAACGCTGGCTGCAGATACTGTTTGCTCCATGAAGTGTGGATGGCCTTTGCTCCATTAAAACATTAGAAAACATGCTGACAGAATGTGTGTTGTGAGGCAACGTACTTCCTCCCATTGTGACAATTTTATGAAGTAGAAAAAAGTAAACCTACATTAGAGTAATTTACCTCCAGATCAGATAATCCTTTTTAGAACTGAAAAACTGCTTTAAATTCAGAGCATTTAAACATTCGCCCACATTATTATTAATAATCAGTAAAAACTCTCATAAGAAGAGTCGAGCTAAACTCTTGCAGAGTCTCCTTTTCTAATGTTCACTGCTATAACCTTTACTGTCAGTCACTGTCTATCTTCCCTTGACAATGCTCAACCTCTTCTCGATTGTCATTCCCAATGGGGCCCCGCTAAATCTCTCACTAACTGCATGAAATTGAGATCAGCTCAAGTTCCTTCCCCTTCCATGTCCTCGGGGCTCAGTGTCTTCTTACTTGTAGATCACGGAAAAAATTGGAAAATAGGGAGAGGCGTAAGATATTCGGTTTTGTAACTCCAAAATGTACTTGACAAAATATAGTAGGGGTGTTGTCATGAATTGGCAGCAGCAGCTCAGAAACTAATCTGATTTATGGGCCAAATTTGAGCTTAGTTTAATTACATCTTTTGTTAATGTAAAGTATAATTGATGTTTTTTGATGGACTCATTTGATGGGCAACAACAAACAAACAAATTTCTTAATTTCAATAAAAATTGTCTTGAAGTTGGATGCACACAGTTTTTCAGTTTAGTTTACTGTTTTTCTAACCCTGCACTCATTAAAATACCATTATCTTTTCCCTGAAGTTAACCCCAGTTCCTGTCACACACCACGTTGTACAATCCACTCGTTTCCATCTCCTCTCTCACAGACAGTGCACAGATTTCCAGTTTTTTTTCTTTCTTTAAACTTTCTATCACTTTTGAGTTTTGCTTTGAGAATTCTGTCTCCTTGTGGCTTACTTAAATCTGCTGCATTTTGATCTTCCCTCCAAAAACACACCCATGCTCTTATTTATATGAAGTCATGAAGACGATGACATCTGATTTGTGGTATTGACTAATAGTCAATTTAATTTAGTTCATCTCCATAGTCTATCAGCACCATTCCTTAAACCGATTCATGCATTTTGTGCAGTCATGTGTTTAGAAGAAACAATTCTTGTTTTTTTGTGTATGGAAAGTGTAAAATGTGACGTTTGCTTTGTGTTTGTAGTTTATTTTGTTCAGCATCATGTGAATCTCAGGCTGTTTATGCTTTATCTAAGCTTCAGAGTTGTGCACCTCGGGTGAGGCTGGTACTACAGGGAGAGAAGTCAAGCGGGTTGACCTCCGGGTCTTTGTTCCCAGGACTTGCTTCTGGGGAGGAGGCCAGCATTCTGGCCCAGTTCTCCTCTTGCCATGGGAGCTTAGCGTGGGAGCATGGGGACTGTGGTCAGCTACTAATGTGCCTATTGCTTCCAGATTGCCTACAAATAAATATAGAAGTTTGTTATTCAAACTCAGTACTTTTTCTACAAAGCAAACATCAACATCGATGCTGCACAGTCAAGGATTTAATGCAGCCCGCCACCAAAGGAGACGGCGGAGCGATAATGTTTTTGCTTGTGCCTGTGTGTGACCATTTCCCTGTGCTGTTAGCAAAATAAGTCAAGCATGACTGAATGGAAATTAATTAAACTTGCATCCATTAATCACAGAGTTGACATCTTCAGCTAATCAACCTTTGGAGTCAACCCAATTAATGATGGCTGCCAGAGCAAAATGATGTGACCAAACATAAAAACAGCTATGACTCCTCTTTCACAGTCACTTTTACAAAAATTAGCTACAATCACTTTGAGATCATCATAATGTGGCATTATTTTAGCATTGGAGGTAACTCTGTTTGTCTGTTAGCAAAATTTTTCATGAACCACTGGAAAGATTTTAATTAAACATTTCAATAAGTAATGTTTGATTATACATCTACAACTGATTGTTTTTTGTAGCAAACTTGATTTATGATAGCTGCCACAGCTAGCTGACCTGAGCCTATGCTAAAGTGCTTATACCTCAGTGAATTTCACAGATATTGAGCTAAAATTTGGTGTCATGGGCAGCACGGTGGCGCAACTGGTAGAGCTGCTGCCTCTCAGCGAGCAGGTCCTTGGTTCAAACCCCGGTCCAGGGGCCTTCTGGGTGGAGTTAGCATGTTCTCTCCGTGCATGCGTGGGTTTTCTCCGCGTACTCCGGTTTCCTCCCACAGACCAAAAACATGCATGTTAGGCTGATTGGTCACTTTAAATTGTCCCTAGGTGTGAGTGAGAGAGTGAATGGTTGTTTGTCTCGTTTGTCTCTATATGTCCCTGTGTGGACTTGCGACCCGTCCAGGGTGTACCCCGCCCCTCGCACAGTGATTGCTGGACATGGGCACCAGCGACCCCCGTGACCAAAAATGGAATAAACGGGTAAAGATAATGGATGGATGGATTTGGTGTCATAGTAACATAATTATTTACAGCACATACCCCATGCACACAAGTATGGAGTGCCATTTGTAAAGTTACACTGTCAAAAATTAACAGCAATATTTTGGTTTATTTAGCCTTTAATAAGAAAAAAAGTTTTTTTTTTCAAGGTCATATTTTCACCATGTTATTCATACATTTATAAATGTCATAGTTCCAAACTAAATATTTAATTTACAAGCTAAATATTTAGTTTACAAACTAAATACTTAACTTGCAAGTTAAATATTTAGTTAGAAAACTAAATATTTAGGTGTAAATTAATATTTAGTTTCCAAGCAAAATATTTATTTTCAAAAATGGACATTTAATTTCCACACTAAACATTTAATTTCTAAGCTAAACATTTAATTTTAAAAATAAATATTTAATTAACTAACTAAATATTTAATTCAGACCTAAATATTTAGCTTGCAGGTTAAATATTTAGGTCAGAATAAAATATTTACTGAGCAAATTAAATATTTATTTTGGAACTTAAATGTTTAGCTTAGAAATTAAACATTTAGTTTGGAAATTAAATATTTAGCTTGGAAAATAAATATTTAGCTTGGAAATTAAATATTTAATTTACACCAAAATATTTAATTTACTAAGTAAATATTTTACTTGCAAGTTAAGTATTTAGTTTGTAAATTAAATATTTGAGAAATCTAACATTTATAAATGTATGAATAACATGGTGAAAATAAGACTTTGAAAAAAAAAACCCTTTTTCTTTTGAAAGGCTAAGTAAACCAAAATGTTGCTGTTAATTTTTTACTGTATAATTTTACAAACAGCACCCCATACACAAGTACTTTCAAGGTTTGATCAAATGAGCTATAACTCCATCATTCCTCAGTATAAGATGATCTTAATCTAAAACTCTGACATGATAGGCAGAGGAAATGCAGTCCATCAATGAATGCAAGTCCTTTATTATTTTTATATTAGGTCACCTGCATTTAAAGCAAATAATGAACCTAAAAATCTTGTTAATTTTTCATCCACACAAGGCACGATATATAAAGGTACTGAAAGAGGGTGTACAGTCCGTCAGTGAAGGCTCATTTTCTTGTGATATGATGATGTTGTGTACTTGTCTCAACGACACACCTTTCAGGAGGCAGCAGGAAAAAAGGCAAAAAGCTGTCACTCCCTGAAACACTAATAAGCCTTTTGCCAACAAGACTGTGTTCAGACCGAGAGCTTTGTGGATTCAGTTGAGGTGTTTTCTTTCTCTGCAAGTTTATCCTCTTTAGATGTCCTTGCCCTGTCCTAATCAAAGAATGGTGATGTGCACATGAGGTTAACACATGCGTGTAACTAGACAAGTGAGTCCCCTAGACAAGAAACGCAGGGATACGAATAGCCTCGATCTCAAATTTAGATGGGATTAATTTGGATTACCCACCTTGTTTTTCTTCTGCTCTTCGTTTCTCACAACAGCGTGTAATGATTTTTTTTTTCTTCTTTACTCTGGCTTGGACCAAAACAGGAAGAATAATTGAATAACAATTCCTTTAAATTAAATATTGAGGGACAGTAGGTTTACATTTTTATAGTACAGTGATTTAAACTTTGCTTGGGCTTGTCAAGTAAAAAAGCTTAGCTTAAGCCATATTGGAAGATATGGAAACTAGCAATGCAAAACAAAAGAATGCTGTGTTTGCATAGTTTTTTTCGCTTCTGGCTGCTAAAGCCAATTAAAAGGATCACAATGGGACAACAATTAACACAACATCAAGCAGTTAATCAAACTTAATTCATCACAGATGGCTGCCCTGCTGTCCCTGGATACCATTTCACCTGGCAGTGTGTTTACACTGAGCTGTCACTTACATTGATTCAATTTACTAATTTAATCAAAATCCTGTCATACATTTCTTGTAGCCTCGCAGCTTTGTATACGCTGTTCCACCGACATTAGTCCTGCAGCTTGTAATTGATTTTTTTCAGAGTTTTAAAGCATATTTTTCAAATATTATTACAAAAACCCTTGTAACAAAATTTGAAGCTAAATTAATTGGCAGTTATTCTTGCCTTTATAGTAAAAATTGATTTTGTGTTGCTATTTGAAGCGTTTGGTTAGTGATTCTTTTTTTTTTCCCTTCTTGATAAATTATTCCGTGGTCATTCTTATTCTATTTTTAAAGCACAAAATTCCTCTAGTCTAGATTCTTTATTGCCACAAACAGTTCTGTCATGTTATGTGAAGATGCTGAGTGAAAGGACACGAAAACCGCGGCTGTGGGCTTAGCGCTGCAGGGTGTAGCAGTGCTGTCTCTGCACATGGTTGTAAATATGCTCTGGCTATGCCTGCAGGGCATGATGGAAAATTAAAGGTCCTGACAGGGCAGGGGTGGGGTGCAATTTTAAGTTGTTTCTTGTGTAAAGTCAGGTCACCCCTCAACATTAAGAAACACTGTATGTATAGATGCTTCATGATTTCCAGCACATTGTGCTTTATATATGTCTATGCAAGTGTTTATCTGTGTTTGTATTGTGAAAATGCATTAAGGAAGCTGCCTATGAATATTATTAGTTTAACGTTCCTTCCAAAATGTCACTTTGTTAGCGTCAGCATCTCTTTGCTTTTACCCTTGCTTTGACCAGATGATTTCTTATTGACTTCTTTATTTTCAGGGAGATATTCAGCAGCTGATGATTCTGGAGGACTCCCAGGCGGCTTCTGACTACTGTCTTAACTACATGCCAGACTGTGACTTTGCTTTGCCACACGGCAGCCAAGCTCTCGGCAAGCAGGAGGTCAGTAAAGAGAGAAAGAGGAAACATCAAATATTTGTACTGTTCTTCCACAGTTTATATGATGGAGTATATGACAGTTAGCAGCCAAGACAAGGTTGGTCTTTTGGGGTTTGTGTGGTTAATGAAACATGTATTTGTTATTTAATGATAAGGCTGAAGCAGCTTGTTTTCATTGCACCCATGTCTGAGTCCTTCTGGCTGTACGAAGCACAAACCTGCCAATCATTCAGGCTCCAAATGTGTTCCAGAATAGAAAACTTGGACCTAAAGTGAGAGTAGGCCATCTGTTAAAGCATTAGTATTGTCTTTAAATGCAGCCACCATGGGAGCATTTTAAGTATCAGGTGCACTTTTGGCAGCACACACACACAGATTATGCAGATAACAAAAGAGAAGCTCCAAACTGAAAAACTTCCCCACATACACAACGAGCCAGAAGCAAATGACTCAAACTGGTAATAACAGCTCATCTTTTCCTTAAGGCATTTATAAAAAAAATGAATCTATCAAGGATATGGATGATTATGCATGTCGTTGGTGATGTATGAAAGCATTAAGTTGAAAGGAAACAGGTGTGTGTGTAAGGGTTTTATGACATACACATATTTAACTCAGCACCTATGGGTGTTGTGTGAGTGCATATGTCCTGATGTTGATTGTCACTGATAAATAAATGGAGAATGAGGCTGTTCCAGTGGTCAGCCAGCTGGCTTTTATATAACTTAAGCTGAGTGATGAGCTCTCCGTCCAATGTCCACATCTGTCAAAAGACTGACCTACTTATAACATTCCCACTCGTTGACTGTGTTTACAAGTAGTCCTAAATCATGTTGTGTCTTTCACAGACTTGGCATCATTCTCAGACAGAACATTCTTATAACATATGTGCAATAGGGATCATTCTGGTTGATGATACAACTGGTAATTCTAACTGCTATAATATCAGATTAGCTCGACTTCCAATCACACAAGTACCAGTAAATGTTATCCACATTTTCAAAAAGGAAGTGTTTAACATGTCCCATAATTTGACTTTTTTTGTTGCAGGATATTTTCTTAATTGTGTTCTGATTTACAGCATTGTTTGTTCTTATCTCCTCCATCCTCCACCTACAATCCTTGTTTTACATTCTACTTTTGTTGTTTTTTTTTACGCAAAAGCTCTTCCAACTTGAGTCTGATACTCTGATGCAAAGGGACGAACCAACTGAGCAAACGGAGGTCTCCAAAAAAGGCAGGAGAGACAAAAATAACAAAAAGAAGAAAGACAAAAGCTCTCGAGGAAAACGCAAAGGCAAGGGCAAAAAGGGGTCGAGAAAGAAAAAGCATGAAGAGGAGGGTTTTGAGGAGGGCTTCCTCAGAGTATCCACAACTCTGCCAGAGATTCAATCATGGGAACCCTTCCAGCCCACAGACCTTCCAGACTTTAGGAGCTCCCTTAAAACAATATTTCCCACTCAAGTTTTTGATATAACCACCATGGAGATGTCCACACATAAACCTGACTTCACAACTAAGGCCCCCACTGTGGTGCCCAGCTTACCGCCTGTATACAAGGTTACAGAGGAGGTAGACAAACTTACCAGTAGCTATCCTCCAAACCTCTCCCACCACATTCCCATTTCTAACCAGTCACTGCCCTGAAACCATCTAAAAGTAGTGAGCACCTCTTTCTCTTCTCACCACTAACCAGCACCACCCTGATCACCACCTCCTCTTCACCATTGCCACAAATTTGTGCCTGTATGTGTATCCATGTGAACTCATATTCACAGCTAATAAATCTTCTGTGTGCATGCAGTGTGGTTCTTTTGTGTGCAGAGTTAGAAGATAATTCTTTGTCTAAAGGTTATCAGAGATAAATACATGTACCGTGCTTGGTGGTGGATAATCACTGATATGCCACAATAATTCTATGCCAAGCCATTTTCCAAAAACAAAGGCACCTTCTTGTATATTTCCTTCATGTTTACTGTCGGCCAATTTGCAAAGTAAATCTTTTTTCTTCTCATACTGTTTCTGTAATTGTTTCAGTTTCCTTCACAGCTAATTAATTAAACTCATTCTGTGTGATTAACTGCACACCTGCCAGATTATTGTTAACACGTTTTCAGTAGACCAACTTGGTTTGCTAACACGTTTTCGTGCATTAACACAGGGAGCCACTGCTGAGCTTCAACTCACTTAAATCTGTGCGTTTGCCAGCAGGAGGTCACACCTCTGGAGAAGGCAGTGGTGGTGGAGTATGAAGACGGTCTTTACGGAGACCTCGTTGAAGATGTCTCAGTTTCCACAGTAACTGTGAGCCCAAATGTCACCGAGCATGAGGTAGGTCAAATACAAACACAAGAGGTACTTTTAAGTCAAAACAGAAAAACAGAAAGGTTAAATCGGTATTCACTGCCATATTTTTGACTCCAACAGCTTCTTGACTATGAAGAGTTCAAAAATGACACGGAGTTTGAGTATGAAGAGTATGAAATCTACGAGGACGACTTTGACTTTGCAGAACGGGAAAGAGCGGAGACGTTGAACGTTGAGGTAAACCTCAATAGAGGTTACGTATTAAGTTGTTTATGTCAAGTGATTTTGGACTACACACATCTTTTCTTGTGTTTTTCCACTTCAGGCTACACTCAGAGCAGAAAAGGGCCAAAAGGGAGAGCCAGCTATTATTGAACCGGTGAGCTGCTGGAGGGCTTTAATAAATAGTCTGGCAGTTCTTAGTCATGAGCTTGATTTTATATCCTTTGAATTTACAATACATACAGTGTGTGCTTGTTTCTAGGGTCTGTTAGTGATGGGACCTTCAGGCCTCCCGGGACCAGAGGTAAACCAGTTTTATTAATTGATTTATTTTTTCTTTTCACGGTGGTGATAATTCTCATAGTTGCCATCACTGCAGTGGTCATAGAAACAGCAACATGACTGTCAGGGAGGAAAATACCAATATTACTGTAGATCCCTGCATCCTCGTAATGACAGTGGAATGATTTTTTAAATGGATGTGTTTTAGAAATCTATGGACAGAACATGGGGCCGTCACTGCATTATTAATAAAACAAGAAGAGCAGAAGGTTTTTACTGGATCTTTGTTAGGCAATGAACAAAATGTATTTTTTTTAATTTATACAGCACAATATCCATATTGCTAAATGTTTGTTTGGTTATGTTTTATGTTTAGGGTCTTCCTGGACCAGCTGGACCAACAGGCCCTCCAGGACCCAGGGGTGATCCAGGTGAACTGGTGAGTGTGGGTTCCTACTCTGTACTTGATCAAAAACTGTTTTGTTGGTGTAGTTTGAGTTAAAACCTGGGATTAGACACTGTAAACCCAAACTGAAACATATGTTTTGAAATTGTGTGTCTTTTTGAACCTGTGACCCAACAGACAGGAAACTGTAAACAACATAATCACCATTTTCATTGTCATCATCAAGATATAATATTGAAGTTATTTCCACTTAATGACTTTTGTCATTTATTTGACAAAAAGATAAACAGTTTTTCTTTTATCAGATGTTTGTTCACACATCTGTCTGCACAAAGAAAAACAAATAACTGTGTCATAAAACACAATCCTATTTTCCATGTTCACTATCTCAACCCATGCACATGAATACAATTGATCAGTGCTGCTGAGTTAGTGTGATCTGATCTGCTGTGGCAGATGGGCCACAACATCTGCCAAAGTGAGCTCCTTTCCAAACAAGTCCCGACTTACATTCATTTCCTAGAGATTTGTCCTAACTGTAAGCGCTATCCTCTAAATGTTATCCCTGATCCTAAGAAAAGCATTAATCTGAAAATCTATTCATCATTTTTATTATTGCTTGTCCTCAAAAAAATTGATGGATCCTCGGAACGAGAGTACACACAACTTCAATTAATAGATTTTAAAATAAGATCCTGTCCTCTTTTTTTTAGGGTCCCCAAGGACGTCCTGGCCTTCCTGGCGTTGATGGAATCCCAGGTCCTCCAGGAACCCTACTGATGTTACCAGTACGGCTTCTTAACACACTGACACGCACAAAAAACACAAACTTTTTTTTTTTTTTTTTCCACGACATGGTGAAGTGCCATGACCACAAGGGGGGGCTGTGTGATTGAACTCCATTTGCATTTGGGGGAATCTTGCAGTGGGATTTAACCTTTCCTTTCATTGTCACCAGTTTCATTATGGAGGGGATTCACAGAAGGGACCAGGGGTGTCTCCCCTGGAGGCACAAGCACAAGCCATCCTGCAGCAGACTAAGGTACATTTCACAGAAACCTTCACTTTTGAGTCTTTTTATCACATTAAAGCAACAGTGATGGTCAAAGAGTAAGTTTATGCTTCATGAGGGTTATTTTATTACACATAAAAGTGAAAAATTATGTTCACGGTGTGTTTTTCTTTCAGATGTCACTTCAGGGACCTCCAGGTCCATTGGGTCTTACAGGACGACCAGGCCCGGTGGTAAGGAACTATTCTGGCTCAGACCATATTTGTACCATACCCCAAGGATACCTCCAACCTCATTACTGCCATTTTTATATGCTCTCCTTTCTCTTTGACCTCGTAACCTCACCTCATCATTATCCATGCTCACTGTGTACTGCTTTCACATATGACTTTACTTAGTTTTGGAAAAACTTAAGAAATGTACAAATATTACATTAAGATGGTATTTTAGATGGTTTGTTATCAGCACATTAGTACTTTGTATTTAGCCTGGTCAAGTAAAATTGTGGTTATTTTTTAAATTTTTATAGGGTGTTCGGGGTCCATCTGGGCCAAAGGGTGACCTGGGAGAAAACGGTCCCTCTGTAAGACTGCACTATTTATTTCTACATCACGTTTAGTTTCCATCACATTTCTTTTTTAAAACAACAGCATATTGATTTTCTTTTGCCTTCTTGTCCATCTTTTCACATCTTTCCCATTTCTTTTGTCTTTATTTTTGATTTTTACATACATAGGGGCCTCGTGGTTTGCCAGGCCCCCCTGGGATTAATGGAAAGCCAGGCAAGAGGGTGAGCTATCTTGAATAATGAGAGGTTCCAAGCTGAAAAATATTCCATATGCATACCGAAATAAAACCCATGCTGTGCTTAATGTACTGTAAAGCAGAACCTATATTAACTGGGCTGAGTGTTTTGCAGGGACGCGCAGGTGTAGACGGAGGTCGTGGATCTCCAGGTGAAACGGGCACAAAGGTAAGCGCTAACAGATCTCACTGTGCTGCGCTTCGCCCAGAACCCACTGATTTTTTTGTTACAGTTAATCGGTAAGGCCTTTGCAGGCCGTAAACTCAGCAATATTATCTGTGTTTGTGCAGAATTGTCTTCCACAATAATCAACTATCTCCTCTTGCAATTGTAAACCTTTGGGTACTGTGCAGCCCACAGCTTATTACATGGTATTGACAACGAGGCAACTCAACGTATAACAGCTACAGAAATATCTTACTAACTAAATCAGAGTCCCCCTGATGCTGGTTCTGACTGAACAGTCTTTATCAGCCAAAGCAACATTTTAACAGACCTACAGCTAATCTAAATGTTTCTCCTCCAAGACCCACTCAGAGCAGATGGGAGGCTCTACCAGGGGAGGCTTTAACTACAATTGTGCTAATGTTTTACACACCATGGCATGTGACGGTGTGTGTGTTTATGTGTGTGTATATTAGAGGTTAATGCACTTGTTTCTCTTTAACGCTTCAGGGTGACAGAGGCTTTGACGGTCTGCCAGGTCTCCCAGGAAACAAGGGACACATAGTGAGTTTGATTTGGTAATTTGACGTCGTCACTGTATTTAGTGTTTATGCAGTCTTTCAGGCGTTTACATCTGAACATGACGTGCATGAATTCTTTACAAATCATATGGCAGATGTTTATTTGCATATTATGATTAGGATGATTGCTGTGCTTTCTGTGACGTAAGGGTACACTAAAAGCATCTGCTTGATACACCTCTGCCGTAGCAAGGCACTGTAAAAAGTCTTCATGTTTATGGCTAATGCTTTTATCTTGTAGGGGGACAGAGGAAGGCCTGGTCCTCTAGGGCCTGTTGGAGAGCAAGGAGAAAAGGTGAGTGCACTATTCCCCCCCAACAAGTAAGTAAGTCTACAGAAAACACACTTCACTACGATTTTATTTTTTTATCTTTACAATAAAAGTGATTTTCAGATCAGTAAATTGATTTTATAAACCGGATTGTAACAGAGCACAGATCCAAGCAAGCTTTAATGAAAAGAAGTCGTGAATACCTGCATTATTACCTCTGCTGTGCTGGCTTGAGTTTACTCAGCTTGCAAAATGGATGCAATTTATTTAAAAATGTGAACATTATAAACTCTCTCAATACGGTGTCAATCTATGCAGGCTGTCTTACAGTGCATTTATTTATTGATGGATTTTCATAGATAAATTCTAGGAGATTATGAATCTCCTCTCCCTGCTGTGTATTTTAGGGATCTGATGGACCTGTCGGACCAAGAGGGCAACCAGGTGAACCTGTAAGTATCCGAATGTGGAAGAATACAATATTTCCTTGTGCTGTGCATGGATGCCTCACATCATACTTTTCATGAAAAACAAACAAACAAATATAGTAACACAAGTCCTTTTTCTTGGTGCTGCTACAGTAGCCATTTGCATTATGACATAAAAAATCCATTGAAAGAAAAATACATATTTAGTCTTCCGTTTCTGCCGTCATAAATCTGTCTATTTTCACATACTTCTCTAAATTCTGGCCAGCTTCCAGTGAAGCTGAAGTTTAAACCACAGCCGAAGATGCTGTCATTGTTTTTTTTTTTTTTGTGCATCTGCTGTGAATTCTGGTTAATCAGTTATGACTCACTCTCTGTCTATCTCCCAGTTGGTGAGGTTCGACCTCAGCAGGGTTCTGTCACTCCAAATACACTTCTCAGAGCTTGAGGAAATAGAGTTGCTATAAGCCTCGTAAAAAACAACAACAAACAAAAACAAAATGAAAAAAAAAAAAAAACTCAAGACAAACCACAGAAACATTGGAAATGAAAGATGCTAGCAGTTGTGATGAGAAGCAGAGATGGATGGGGAAAGTGTTACAGCAGAACACAAAACACCAGACAGAAATTTGGCATGGGGTGAACGAGCGGAGGTAGATGGAGTTAAAAAGGGAGGAAGAAAGTGTCGGCAAGGTGAAAGATAAAAAGTCTTGGCCTGAATGATTATATTTCCATATCAATCACCTCCCAGGAGATCACAGATGTGGATTTGGAACAGGTGGCTTGGCCAGCCTACAAAGTGACAAGCTGACACAAACACATTCGCACCGATGGGCTAGCACAGGCTTCATAGTGAGCGCACAGAAACAGCCCTGCACAAGCATTGAAATACACTGGCAGTCTCTTGCTGTTTTTCATTTTCGCCCACTCCTTTGTTTTCATTTATAGTTTAGTATTCTACTCTCATTCAGTCTCATCATGAATGCAGGTTAGATGCTGACTCTGTGCTGTGTTGTTTCTTTTCTCCAGGGTCCACGAGGTCTAGTTGGGCCAAGGGGGCCACCCGGGGCACCTGGACAAGCGGTGAGTCAACATCACCTTGATGAAAAGATCAAAACCATCGAGAGTCTTCAAATCCAAAAGCACAGAAACATTATTCAGCCTTTGAAGATAAACAAAAAGGCTTCTGGACTGTCCAAGCATAATTTATTAAAATCCAATTTTTTATCTGTCTATTATTTTAGGGGATTCGTGGAACAGATGGAGTTCAAGGGTCAAAGGGTAACCTGGTCAGTCTTTTTGTACAAATTTGTGTATTATTTATCAGTCATCAATTATCAATTATAAAAAATGTGTAGGGGCTTAAGCCCTTACATATTTAAAGACATGAGACTATTAGTGAAAATCAAGTCTTTGAAACTGAAAATCAGACATTTGGTTGGGATAAAGAATATGTGTACAAAGAGTTAGTAGCTTTGTTTTTGTTTTTAGGGCCCATCTGGAGAAATAGGGCCCCCAGGTCAACAAGGAAATCCAGGAGCACAGGTACTATACATACAGTGAAACACAGCTTCCTTTTGCAAATAGATTTATTCAATTCATTACACTGCTCAGGTCCTGAAATATACAATATAAACTGAACAGTTAGAGGCACATTTTCACATTTGTTGGTATGTGGTTGTAGTTTCTCATTTAGATTCTTAATTTGACTACATTTGTCATTTTTAATCTGCAGCTTAGACAACCATTCCTGGAAAGCAACATGAATCATATTTGCTGTTTACAAGCATTTTAACAGTGCACCTAACCACCCTGTTACATTTATGACTCAGAAACGCCTCATTTAAACACATATACTGCAGATCCAAGCAAAATCTGGGCTACTAGCCACTTTGCATTCGTGTAACACCTAATCTGATTGATGCTTTGTTTTGGTTCAGGGCTTTCCCGGTCCTCAGGGTCCTATTGGACTGCCAGGAGAGAAGGTAGGTGGCATGTCTCTTACTTAATTTGAGAAATAAAGCTGTGACCTGTTGACATCTGTCATCACACACCTAGAGGAAGCAAGCCAAGCAAGACAGTATGAACCAGCCTCTTCTGGCTAGCATTCAGGCAAGACGAAGGGAGACAGGAAATCAATACTCTGCAAACACACACAGGCATTGCAGACAAAACAGCCTAAGCTGGTGCCTGCTATAATGCAACAACAACAAAATACATACAACATCCAAATGTATGCTTAGTTACAAATGTACATCCAACAGTGTTTAATATTACTCCCTCCTTTTGTCTCCTACAGGGTCCTATGGGTAAACAAGGCATACAAGGACTATTAGGTGTTGATGGTCCTCCGGTAAGTTACAACAGATACACAAACACAAGTGTTTCAGTGCAAATGCACATGTGACCCAGATCTTTATTCAAACATGCCACGTGAAACAAATCTTCATCAGTTATCTAAAAAGATAGTAAATTCAGACACGATTCCATACAGTTTAGCATGCTGAATATCTTCAGTGCATGCACACACATGTCTGTCTGCTCACACGTGAAATCCTGAATCTAATTAAATGCAACTGAATGAACTGAATTTGCCAACTTACATTTTATGTAGTTTTTTTTTCTTCACCTGAGGCGTTTCCAGAGTTGATCCGAAGCAGACTGACATTTTAAAATGAGGACTACAGATCTTCTTACATGGAGGCTTTTCTCATCTCAAGGAATTAATTTTTCAGTGGAGTCAAACACATTTGTATGAGTTTCACATAGGGCTCTTCACATTGTTCTGCAGAGCTTTGTGTCACAATGATACCTGAAGGTGCTTCTTCACTCTGTGACACTTTTCTCATTTGTTAATTGCATTCAGAAAATTCTGTTAGGGAGAGATATGAAAATGGTGCATTTGTAGCTGTTCACATGCATTGTAATGTTTGTTTTTCTTGCTATAGGGTCACCCAGGACGAGAGGGCCCCCCAGGAGAAAAAGGCATCCAAGTGGGTAACTGCATGTCAGAGGCTCACCCTCAGTGGGGTTTAGATCAGATTTTAAAGCAGCTGAATCATGTTTCATTTAATTGTTTTATTGTGTGAATGCTGATGAAGTATTCACACTATTGTGATCCATTTTTCTTCCGTATGTATTTCAGCGCGATTCTCGCCCCACAGTTTTCAATCTATTTCAACAACTTGTATATCAAAACATTCATCCCTTTCAGGACAATCCTGCAGTGACTTTTGGTATTGGTGCACTTTTAGCTTTTTTGAAATGTTTAGCCTTTCTTGCTATTTTTTTTTTCTCATTGGAAATGAATTGAGCTAATTTTACATCCTTCAAATCTTTAGATCTGTTAACAACATTTTACTGCTCCTTTCACATTTTGTTCTGGTTCAGCTTCTTTGAGCTTCCTTATGCAAATTTAAACTTTACTTCAGCTATTTTCAGCTAATTGTAGCTGTTTTTTCAGCAGTTTTGTGGTCCTTTCAGATTCTTTCGGCTAACTACAACATTTTTGTGTCTCTTCTAACTCATCTCTGCTAATTTCAGCTTGTTATGCTCCTTTCAGCTTATTTCCACAAGTTTGAGCTTTTTTTTTTTTTACTATTTCATAGCTGTTGTTCTGCTAATGCAAGCATTATCAGCTAATTCCACATTTTTTGCACTCATTCAAATTTTTTCAGTCCAATTCAGCAAACATGAGCGTTCTCCACTTTCTTCTTGTTATTTCAGCTTCTTTCTGCATTCTTTTAGCTACTTTTCAGCAAATTTTTTGGGTGGTAATTTCAGCTATTTTTCAGAAAATTTCCATTTTTTGTGCTCATTTCTGCTTCTTTCAGCCTATTGGACAAACATGTTCTTTATTCTATTTTACCTACCTTTTTTTGTGCATATTTTAGCTAATTTAAGCGGTTTTCAGAAAAATTTTAGTTTTTCGTGGTATTTCTGCTGCTTCCAGGCTAAAGTAACTTCTTTATGCTAATTTCAGCTTGTTATGCTCGTTTCCACTTTTTCCTTTTAGTTTCTGCTATTTCAGCTACTATTTAGCTGTTTTTACATAAATTGTTGCTGTTTCAGCTAATTCCACCTTTTTTGAACTCATTTAAGCTTTTTCTACTTCCTTCTGAAAGTTTAAGCGCTTTTCTGCTTTTTCAGCTTCTTTTCAGCTATTTTTGTTAATTTCAGCTTTTTTAGCTAATTTCCTACTTTTTGTCCTAATTTCTGTTTATTTAAACCTAATTCAACCAATATGTGTTCTTTCTGCTTTCTTCTGCTACTTTAAGCTAGTTCGTCATTTCAGCTACATTTCAGCATGTTCTTAAGCCAATTTCAGCTGTTTTTCAGCAAGTTATTCTGCAATAAGCATTCACACTGCATTTTTGCAGGAAATTCACTTTCTCTAGTTTATTTTGTCACTCTGTTGTAGCAGTGCATTCACTCCCAATAAGGATTGACATTAAAGTTCATGCCATGTATTCATCAGAATCTTTTGCATTTTGCCCATCCTTAAAAGATGGAACACAGTCACTGGGTGCATTGCTTATTTCAGCTCGGTTATGTTTTGTTTCCCTGCTGCTTAAAATTAATAATTAAATATATTTAAATATTAAAATTAATATTATCCTTTTGTTGTCCATTATGTTTTTAATGTAGGGTTTACTTGGCATCCAGGGCCCTGTTGGGTATCCAGGCATTCGTGGAGTCAAGGTGAGACATAAATGCACCGTGATCTCAGATGTTGTTTACTGATATCTTTATTCCCATGTCCACTGTATTTTGCCCCTGTGTCTACCTTTGATGGACAAGCTGTTCAAGTCAATAACTGACAGTTGACAGGTGAGTGAGCACCCCAGTTCTCAGGAGGACCTTTGAGAACAGTAATGGAAAACATTTGATCTGCTTGAGAGAGAGTCAGTTACTGTTTGTGTAGCAGTGCAGGGGTCCATTTTGAATAAAAGTTCATTGACTAAGTGAAATGAATTCTGTACAGGGCTTGATTTTGTGAAGATTTGTGAAGCCTTGCGTTTATGACAATCTGTTGTAATACATTAATTTCAAGGCCAATAAAATCTCTACAACAAAACAGTGTTTTGTCAGCAAAAAATCACTACACTTTATAACCACTCTGTTTTATATTTAAGTATTTACAGGGGAAATCAAGGCAATTTAAAAGAGAACAATTTCCTGAGATTTTTACAAAGTTGCTTTTTGTCTTTTATTTTACAGGGAGCAGATGGAGTTAGAGGTCTGAAAGGAAGCAAAGGAGAAAAAGTGAGAACAACGGATACAGCTTTTATTTTATCACTGACTGTCAAACTGTGGACTTTGGCTCCCAGTATGTTTCACAAATTAGATTGTAATGATGAGATTTAAAAGCAGTCATCAGAATTTGCCTCTTATTATAGGGAGAAGACGGCTTCCCAGGGCCAAAGGGTGACATGGGTGTCAAAGGAGACAGGGTGAAAATTTCTATTCACTCCCTCAGTTTTTGAATTTTTATATAAAGTAAACAAAGTCACCTTGTTTTTCTTTTCATTTCTGACTTTAGGGTGATAACGGAGTTCCTGGTCCTCGTGGAGAGGATGGACCAGAAGGGCTAAAGGGTCAATCAGGACCTGTAGGAGATGCAGGACAAGGTGGAATAGCAGGCGAGAAGGTATATTATTATTATTATTATTATTATTATTATTATTATTATTATTATTATTATTAGTAGTAGTAGTAGTAGTAGTAGTAGTAGTAGTAGTAGTAGTAGTATTAGTAGTAGTAGTAGTGGTGGCAGTGGTAGCAGTGATAGTAGTGATAGTAGTGGTAGTAGTAGTGGTTGTAGTAGTGGTAGTAGTAGTGATAGTAGTGATAGTAGTAGTAGTAGTAGTAGTAGTAGAAGTAGTGGGAGTAGTACTAGTAGTAGAAGTAGTGGTTGTAGTAGTGGTAGTAGTGATATTAGTTGTAATAGTGGTTGTAGTAGTGATAGTAGTGATAGTAGTGATAGTAGTAGTGGTAATTGTATTAGTAGTAGTAGTAGTGGTAGTAGTGGTAGTAGTAGTGGGAGTAGTACTAGTAGTAGTAGTAGTGGTTGTAGTAGTGGTAGTAGTGATAGTAGTGGTAGTAGTAGCGGTAGTAGTAGTAGTAGTGGTAGTAGTGGCGGTAGTAGTAGTAGTAGTAGTAGTGGTAGTAGCAGCGGTAGTAGTAGTAGTAGTAGTAGTGGTAGTAGCAGCGGTAGTAGTAGTAGTGGTAGTAGCAGCGGTAGTAGTAGCGGTAGTAACAGCGGTAGTAGTAGCAGTAGTTGTAGTAGTTGTAGTAGTGGTAGTAGTGGTAGTAGTAGTAGTAGTAGTAGTAGTAGTGGGAGTAGTACTACTAGTAGTAGTAGTTGTAGTAGTATTAGTATTAGTAGTTGTTGTAGTAGTAGTAGTAGTAGTAGTAGTAGTAGTAGTAGTAGTAGTAGTAGTAGTAGTAGTAGTAGTAGTAGAGAAATGTTTCATAATAAGTTGAGCATTGAAAGAACAATCAGGCTAGTGGAAAAAAGTTATACGACAACAATAATTTAAACTTCTGTTTAAATTCCTGCCTTAATAAACATAAGTAGCACAAGTTCTAATTCAGGTTTTGGTTTTAAAATCATGCATATGAGGCTAATATTTCAGATGACATAAAAGAAACTCCTGATCACATCTGATAGATGGAAACACTGACAAGTATAAATATTAATCTATTTAGTTTTTTTAAAATAAGCAATAATTGTATGCTCATTCAGAACAGACAAAGCAGTTTGCTTATGTTATTGCATAATTGAAATTTTATAATTAAATAAAAAAAAAAAACACACTAAAATGGTTGCTCTGTTTTCTTCAACTTTGTCACACTTATTTCTTGCGTTGCTGTCTTTGCAGGGCAAACTTGGTGTGCCTGGTTTACCTGGTTACCCAGGAAGACAAGGTCCTAAGGTAATTGTACCATTGTAGCTGGTCTGTTGCAGTCAGAGGAATTTCCTTTATTGGAGCTTTAAGCAGCAAAACTTTCCCCTGACTATTTTCTGTCTGACAAAAATAAAGTATGACAAAAGACATATTTGAAAAAAGCAAAATTATTTATAGTTCATTAGTGACATCAATGTATTACATGTTGATGAATGATGTATTTAGGGCTGTGCTGAGCTCATGGATTGGAATTGCTTTAAATTGATACAGTAGTTAATTATAAGTTAATGGGACATTGGGGGTGCCATGTGATAAATGGAGAGCTGAAGCTGATTAACCTCTACTTGCATCTGCAGGGAACACTTGGCTTCCCTGGTGTAGCCGGCATGCTGGGAGAGAAAGGAAGAAGGGTAAGACTGTGCTGACATTTTAGTCTACAAAACATTGTACACAGTACAACCAGTAAAAGAAGCTAAGTGATAAATAATCATTGACCTTTGCAATGCAGGGTGCAGCTGGTACGCCAGGTCCAGGGGGTCAACGAGGTCCTAATGTGAGTATGCTGGACACTCACTACGTTCCTGCAATATGCAAAGCAACGTTGTGTCTAATTATGTACTGCCAGTTTACAACGTGTGGAAGGAAGCCAGACTATCAGGTCTCTACTGGATTTATTTTCTCAGTTCTTTGTACATATGCTAACCAGACAGCTGTTTGTTCTCTTATAGGGAGCACGGGGAGGAAAAGGGCCAAAGGGACCAACTGGAAAGCCTGGAGAAAAGGTGAGCTTGGTGACAGAAACTAACACATAAACACACCTGGCTGCCTCATAGAGTATGAATGAATGCATCGGCTGAGATGAAACTGGTTGTTGCATTTCACTTCAGATGACAGGCCATCTGGCACAGAGAGAAGCAACTGTTTGGCAGGGGGGTGCTTCAGTTTATATTCACACTCTCAAAATCCAACTTGTGGAAGCTAAAGCTTTGCTGGCAGTCAACAAAGCCAAAAAATCTTAGTGTGTTTTCTGTTCAGTTGGATTTCTTGCCTTCCCTTGTAGGGTTCTGCTGGTCAAGATGGTCCTCCAGGAGCTCCTGGAGACCAGGTAATCTTTTGATTACTGTGTAGTAAGTCATGCAAATAAAAATAAACCCGACAAACACTTTTGTAGTATAAGCTGAAAAACCCGAGTTCTTGTTTTCTAGGGTCCTCAAGGAGCACAGGGTGGGCATGGTGAACCAGGGCCTAAAGGACCTAATGTGAGTATGTCTTGCTAACATTTACGTTAACGATTGGTCAAACTGAGTTTGTTAGTTATGTAAGAAAAGCGCTGTTTTCAGGGTCCACCTGGAAAGGATGGATTACCAGGACATCCAGGTCAGAGAGGAGAACCAGTGAGTCACTTTTTAAAAATGTCACTACAAAGTAAATAAAGTTATAATTTTAACTATGAGTGTACATTCACAGCAAATAATGTCAACATATTCCACTGAATCCAATGAAAATACTGTCATAACTGCAAAGAGGAAGATATCTGTACATACCCAATCCACTTGTCTTAACTGAAGGTCAGAAGGCTCACTTGTCTTTTTCTCCAGGGCTTTCAAGGAAAGAATGGACCTCCTGGTCCACCAGGAGTTGTTGGACCACAGGTGAGAGGACTGACCAAGGTCACGTCACATTGAAATATTTTATATTTGTTACATAGTACATGTTGCGTACTCGGCATGTTTTCAGGGGAAAACTGGTGAGACAGGGCCAGCTGGAGATAGAGGTCATCCAGGTGCGCCAGGACCACCAGGTGAGCATGGTTTACCAGGAACTGCAGGAAAAGAGGGTGCCAAGGTGAGTGCTTTTTATTCTAATGTCAGAATCATAATCCCCTGTGTTCATCATTAATATGCTTAGATAAAGTGCAAGTACTCTCTCAGCTCTGTCTGAATATCTTATCTCCTGGGTCTAATCCTGATCTCTAATTTGCCAATAAATAACAGAAGAAACCTCATGCTGTTGAGTGTATTGTGACTCATAAAGATAAATGTTCCTGCTTAGTGTGACTTGCTGGTTTGTGTGATTTATGACTGCGTAAGGTCCTTCTATTCACTGGCTACTGGCTGTTTATCTAATTACATGTGTGTGCTCGTGTGGGTTCTAGGGAGATCCAGGTCCACCAGGAATCACAGGAAAGAATGGACCTCCTGGGCTTAAAGGCTTCAGAGGGAGCAGAGGGACTCCTGGTGCAGCGGTAACACAGATTTCAGGACACCTTAAATCCTCACCTTCTTTTAATATCTAAAACTAATCAAATGTACACTTTTGATTAAGGTTAAAATAAAGCAGACAGAATTTGTGTATGTGTTTTATACCAAAATAGTTTGATGGTATACAAAGCATGTGTGATTTGATTGCACTAGTGATGTTTTTTTTCTTTTCTGTTCTTTTCAGGGACCTCCAGGTCTAAAGGGAGGAGAAGGCTTACCTGGTGTGGCAGGATCTACTGTAAGTGTAATTTTGTAGTTTCCTATACCATGTCCCGCTTTATGTTCATGTCACATAGGGTGCTAGGACTCTAAAAGTGGACTGTTTCCATGGCGATCAGTCATCGTGACCACTGCATTAAATAAAAGTGTGATTCATGCGATATACTTGCTTCACCTCTCATATTCTTCTATTTCCAGGGTGCCACAGGAGAGAGGGGTCCCGCTGGGCCAGCTGGTGCCATTGGCCAGCCAGGACGGCCAGGCAGCACTGGTCCTGCTGGGCCTACTGGAGAGAAAGGCGAGCCAGTAAGATTTGGAGAATTGCTAATTTTCACTGTTGTCACTGACACATACACATGGTGCACCCTCACCTCCTTCTGCTGGGTGAAATAAACAACATGCGCTCTCATTTTAGAATGTGTTATTATGAGAAAGAAAACAAAAGACAGATTAAGAAAAAAAATTGTGATCAAGTTTAATTTCCTGAAAGTGACTTTCCCCATTGATAAAAGTCCATTAATCAATCTGTCATGCTGCAGCAGTGCCTGGATGTGTGCCGTTTCCCCATCTGTGCATTAGGGAGAGAAGGGTGCTGTGGGGCCAGCTGGGCGTGATGGGGAACCAGGACCTACAGGGCTGCCTGGGATTGCAGGATCGCCTGGACCTCCTGGGGAGGACGGAGACAAGGTACAGTACGACTAGATTGAAAATCTTATTTTAAGTTTCTTGCTGATCCTTGAACCCTATTGTTCATATTTTCATTCATTTGAATTTGTAGGGAGAGCCAGGAGGACCCGGCCAGAAAGGCAGCAAAGGCGACAAAGGAGAAGCTGTAAGAATGCACGTTTATGTGAATACTTATAACTTGACATCATTACCAGTGAATACTCAGAGGTTGAGAATAATATCTTATAATTGTTTTGGATAATTAATGGTAATTACTGGTTGTCTGGACAATGGATTCTGTAGTGTAAAGAAATGCATGACTATATTCTTACCATTGGCATTAAGGAAATATTTAACATCATACAGGAACACAAAAATTGAAGCCAGAGTGGGTACAATGTCCCCACAGGATAGTCCAAGACCAGGGTTTAACCCACACCAGTTCTTTACATAAACAAGGACATTGGTGTTATTAAAATTAAAAAAATGCACCTCTTTTTTCCAGGTGTTGACTCTTGTTGATTCCCGTAGGTAATACCTTGTTGCTCTTTGTTGATTCTTCTATGTTTAGCTGTAATCAGTTATTTCATGTTTTAAAAAGTCAACACTATGATTGTGGGTGAGGGAGTTGGCAGAACTTAAAGTTTCACATCCCTACTGTGCAGGCATGGCTTCCAAAAATACATCATAGCTCCTCCCATAAACCAGATCCTGCAGGCTTCAATTCCCATCAAGAAAAGGCTGGGATATTTGTCCTGATGCATGCTGGGATATTTGATTCAGTATTTCCATAAATGTCAATGATTCTTGCCTGAGTAAAGATGAATACAAATGTTCATTTGTTTTTATAGGGACCATCAGGACCTGTTGGTATTCAAGGGTCTGTGGGCCAACCAGGATCATCTGTATGAAGCATTCCTCAGAATATTAAACATAAAAAACTTATTAAATAATTGTTTGTTTTTTGCAGTGTTAAAAATCTATGCATGTTTCAGGGTGCAGATGGTGAGCCAGGTCCTCGTGGACAAATGGGTGTGTATGGAGCAAAAGGTGATGAAGGACCTAGGGGGTTTAAGGGGCCAACTGGTCCCTCTGGTCTACAGGTAAAATATGCTCTCAGCTCCAATGATCATAGTGCCATGTTATCTTACTTAAACCTCCATTTCCTCCTTATGTTTGTCACTGTGTAGGGAATGCCAGGACCACCAGGAGAAAAAGGAGAGAGTGGTCATGTTGGTTTGATGGTGAGCACTGCCAAGCAATCTTCTCACTTCGAACAAGCCACTAAGTTTTCAGATAATACAACTCAGCTCAGTTTGTTCCCCCTCTGAGCTTCATGGTACTAATCTTTAAACATGTTTGTTCTTGTACACCAGAATTCACAATGCAAGTAACAAACAATAATACAGTAAAAGTTATGTAATGATTTCTGATTCATGCTCAGTAATCCAGGTAGAAAAGTTAAGTCAGGTCATCTAGACAGTTTCTTTTTGGTGAAATGTTTCATCTTTCATCCAAAAGACTTCATCAGTCTGAGGAGCCACAACAAACTCAGTCTAATAAATAGCACCGTCTCATAGTGGGTCAACCAGTTTGATGGTGTTCGGTGGTTTCTGGAGTCCGTCCTCTCCTCCATGATTCAGTCATGGCCAAAGGTGGTTCAAAACATCCTGATTCATGCTCGATAAAAAAAACGAGTCGGCGGGGGAGAGGGCGGACTCCAGAAAAAACCGAACACCATCAAACTGGTTGACCCACTACGAGAAGGTGCTATTTATAAGGCTGAGTTTGTTGCAGCTCCTCGGACTGATGAAGCCTTTTAGATGAAAGACGAAACGTTTCAACAAAAAGAAACCGTCCAGAAGACCTGACTTAACTTTGTTGGATATGCAGGGATTGTGTTTCATTTTTATATACGGTAGTCTCGTCTCCAACTAAGTCAAAGCAGATCTTGAGTTACATAATACATCAGCTTTGGTAGCAGACGATAGATCACAAATATAAAACTGGGTCCAAAACCATAGATACAAACAAAAACAACATATTTAGAAACGTAAAGCATGCAAGACAGCCAGTACAAAGCCGACAACTTATAAAGTTGCAAAAACATAAATGCAAATCAACAATAAATTCTAGGGTATATGTAAAGAGTGCAAGGCGTTGCTAGTTTTAAATTGTAGCCCTGGTGATCTTGAAACCAATTAAACACAAACAAAAACTTTAACTAAAAGGGTGAATGAGCATAATTTCAAAGATAAAATTTGTTTTGATGGAAAGGACATTGTTTCTTTATTTGATCATTTGAAAATGTTTAGAAAGAGGCACACAAATGTACATTGAAACAAGTTAATACAGACAGACTGTTTAATGTGGAAATGTAAGAAAAAAGAAACAAAAACTTTTTTTTTTTTCATTATCCAGTAATTTTATTGACAGGAAAAAAAATTGAACAGTAATTTCAAAGTGTGTACTGTGAACCAAAGCTTTATGGTATAGTGAGACATTATTATTGATCAGAAGCTCAATTTAGCTGAAAATCTATATGGATTTTTATTTGGAGGCTTGTAAAGGAAAGTCAAAAGGTTGAGACAGGAACACAGCAAGATTTTTCATGCACTTGTTTGTTACTCCCCTTCTTATTTTCCCAGAGTAGTAATTGGTCAGCAGGTCATGTTTCAGTATTTTCTGTTTGCTCATCTGGAACATAGCCTGCCCAGGAACACAATTGATTTCTAACTTGAGTCACCATTTTGAAACATCCCAATAAAAAGTAAACCACCTTTGCAGCAAACTCCAGAAGTTTGAGCCATTAATCCCAGTTTGCTTCTTACTGCCTGCACTGTAAATAAAGTACAAAGAGTCTGTGAACTGTATGTAGTGCACAGACATTCCACCTGAGCTTATTAAACTTTGATTAGTACTACGCATTTAGTTAATTAGCGACAGCTGTGCTGAATGTCAAACTTATGAGCCAACATTTTCTTCTACTAGTAATCATTAACATTAACTGCCCCCAGTCTCCAGTGGTCTCTAGGAAGGAGCTGAGTTTGCTCCAATCAGTGATTAGTCTCAGTGTTGTTCAGCTCCTGTTATCAGACTGATATTCTAAAGAGAGAGCATCTAGGTTTTACACCTGTTCAATGGAAAATGGCACAAGTGCACAAAATGCTTTTCTGTCTCCAACCTGTGCTTAGAGCTGATTTCCTACTTTATTAGTTACTGTAACGCAGAACACTTTAAATGAACATGTTCAGTGATAAAATTCATTTTTTTCCAAGCAAACAATTTGATTTGTCATAACCGAAAAATATCAGGTGCAACTAATAATAGTAATTGTGGTTTTACTCCGTGTAATAAACCCCAGCACGTCATGCCAGGAAGTCAGCAAGATTAAAGACAAATTAAGAAAGAAATTGTTGAAGGCACCATAATCGCATGGGTAACACTTGATTAATTTTATGACGTTGAAGTTTTGAAGATGCCATTTCTACTCCATCCTTAACGGGGAGTTTTATACAAGTGGGTTTTTTTTTGGTTGTTGTTTTTGTGGCATGGCCATTCTTTTAATTCTATTTCTCTTATCCTATTATAGAGAGGCAAAAACCTGACATGGACATTCAAACCTTCAATAACGTCAGCACATTTTTAACCATGCATGATAGAGTTTTGTGGCTCGTGAGTCGTAAAAATCCACAATTTCACGTGCAAAAATGATGAGCCCAGCGAATGAACATGATAGCTGTGAGTGCGGAAGGAAGGAAACCGATTTTTAAAAAAGTAGTGACAGAAAGGAGATAGTGAAGCAATGAAGTGGAAGGAAGAGGCAGGGCACTCATTGTGAACAGGAAGATGGTGTGACAGCTGCTAATCAGATTAGCCTCAGCCATGGCGCTCTAATGAGCACCCTTCTTTGTGACAGTCATCTCACAACGCTGTCAGCCATGAACGCACGCTCAACAAGCTTCACAATAGCTCCCCTTCTTCACAGTCAGATTAGGAAGCGAATGCATTAAAACGGAGCCAAAACAAAAGGCGGAAGAGAGGAGAGATGCTCAGGACACAGTAGGAAAGTTTTATGCATGCGTCAGTGTTGCGGATCACAGAGTTCTCCCCTCTAACACTGGAGTCTCTGCAGAAGGGCATGCTTCTTCCAGTTCCACACAATCTCTCTCTGGGCAGTTTTGTCTGTCTCTCTGTTTCAGTGTCTTTACAACACAAGGTTCCCTGCAAGACTTCAGAGTGATTCACAACATGGCTCAACAGCAACTCAACTGAAACCGAAGCCAAGTACTGTTAGGATTAATTGCTTGGTGCTCTCAAGCTGCATAGGCGACGAGTCAAATCACATGTCATCTCTGGCTGAGAGAGTATGCTTATGCATATCACAGGCCAGAGATTTCTTATTAATAATTGTTAATAAGAGAGGCAGTGGGAGGTGAAAAGAAGGAGTCAGAATCTGTGTCATATTGAGGGTAATGACCTGTCTGAGCATCTTCATCATGTCAGTGTAATAATAATCATTGGTAATAGGGCCACTGCATAAGCAATCTGGCGTTGGCTGACATCGAACTTTTATTTCATTTTGAAGGTTCCAACTCGCATTCATTTTGAAACTCTAAATGTTTTATGTTATCGTAATAAAAATTATGCAATTTCTTTCTTCTCAGGGACCTCCAGGACAGCATGGCCCACGAGGCCCTCAGGGACCCACTGGTGCCGAGGTACAATGCAACTTGTACATTTTTTTTAACTATCCAGTATTAGGAATAAAATGATGGTGTTGCTGGTATCACAGCTTCATTATATGGAAAGCAAACAGAACCCCCATGTACTCGTAAATATGAAAATCATCTTGTGTTTTATTGTTGTTTATATTAACATGTTTTTCTTATGCGTGTTCACAGCACATACGCAAATGTTTGGTTAAAGATATGATTCTTCACAAAACCGTTTCAGTGGTACATAATTTGTATTCTGGTAGTTGGACTAATAAATGCACCAACATGCATCATTCTATTTGGTAACACATTTCTGCATAATTATAATTTCCATGTATTAAAACTATCTGTCATAACAGATAAATGTGCATAATTTTGCTTAATATCAGCCTGAGATTTAGCCTAATATCTGTGTACTTTTATGCAGATTATTGAAGTTTCAAACTGTGTTTTATTTATTTTTCTGATTTGTCAATCGAATGTAAATAATCAGGGCTTGGTCATTCATTTAGTGAACTTTTATATTTCAAAATCATCTAAAAATCAGTTTTGAAAGGGTGCAAACGATGGAAGAGCCTAGTAGTAATGTTTTTAGGTAATGTTAGTGCAGTCCTTTAAAATTTCATAAGAACACTCCTAATTAAAACTAGAGAAATTGCATTTCCTGTGAAAATGCAGTGTGAATGCTTATTGCAGAAGAAGTTACTGAGAAAACAGCTGAAATTAGCTAAAAAAAAAAAAGCATGCTGAAATGTAGCTGAAATGAAAGAACATGCCTAAATTAGCAGAAGAAATCAAAATACCACATATTTGCTGAATTAGGTTTAAATGAGCACAAAAATTAGGAAAACAGCTAAAAAAAAGCTTACATTAGCAACAACAACAAAAAAAAATCTAAAAAGTGTCTGAAAAGGTAGAAAGAAGCTTAAACTGCCAGAAGGAAGTGGAAAGAGCTGAAATGAGTTAAAAAAAAAAGTGGAATTAGCTGAAAAGGCTAAAATTTGTATAAAACAGCTGAATAGTAGTCAAAATAGCAGAAAAAGCTGAAACTAGCAGAAAAGACGCTGAAAGGAGCATAACAAGATGAAATTAGCATAAACAGCTGAAAAATGTTTAAATTTGCATGAGGAAGCAGAAAGAAGCTGAACCAGAACAAAATGTGAAAGGAGCAATAAAAAGTTTTAAACACATCTAAAGATTTGAAGGATGTAAAATGAGCTCAATTCATTTTCTATGAGAGAAAAAAATCAGCAGAAAAGGCTAAATATTTCAAAAAGCTAAACTTGCACCTATACCAAAAGTCACATCAGGATGGTCCTGGAAGAGCTGAACATTTTGATATATGATTTATTAAAATATCTTGAACTCTGCAGGACGAGAATTGTGCCAAAAAACATATAGAAGAAAAATGGATCACAATAGCTTCATAAACATTCACACACTAATGTTATCCAGATATCCGTACAATTGCTTGTTTAACTTACTACTAATTTATATTTTCAACCTCCTTGAGCATGTATTGCCACAGGCCTTCCTCTGCTTTTGAAATGTGAATTATTAATTAGTATCACAATGTAATCCCTGTGAAAGAGTTATATTTACTGCTCCATGAATCATTAAGAAGTATTGGACTATTATCCCAGAGAGGCAGTTATATTTACCTCTAGTAATGGCTGTCCCTCTGCAGCCTCTCATATTGCTCAATTATTCAGCAGTCAGCTGCAGAAAGCTTGAGCCTCACGCTAGCTCTTCATCACGGGAAGTATAGACATATAGCACTGCAGTGATGGTTGAATCTATAAATAGATAGATACAAGAACAGAGGAAAACAACAAAATGGCTTAGACTTGAAAAAGCAGTTCACAGCAGGGATTCAGGGGTAGTGAATGGATTTGTTAATCTACCGTGTACCTGCATTCTTCTAAAATAGGGTTTACCCAATTTCATCTCAAGGTACACGGTTCAACATCAAGGTACAGTGCATGGATCAACAAATATATAAATGCACATGCACAAACAGGCAACCTGACTAAAATACAGAAAACGGAGTCAACCCATCCGTGATGTAGACAATACCCTCACCCAGGACTGAAGCAATAATTCCTTCTAATGAGACCATTTTGTTCCACTTTTAGCGTTTTGTGAGCAAAGCTGTTGGCAAGCAAATAAAAAATACTGCAGAATCAGATTTTTGGAAAGCAAATGAATATTTAAAACCTGCCCTTGTTTTAGTTAAAGCCTTTCTCTCTCTCCTCCTCTGACACAGGGCCCACCTGGTTCGTCTGGTGGAGTTGGGCAGCCTGGACTTGTTGGAGAGAAGGTCAGCAAATCATGTCACTGTGCATATTCAGTACAATGATGGACGTTTATACAGAGTCTTGGAGCTTCAGCGTGCACGTGTTTCATGCCATCAAACGTTTCCTCTCTGTCAGGGTGAGGATGGAGAAGCAGGAGACCCTGGAACAGTTGGAGAGCCTGGTCCTCCTGTGAGTAACGTTGTCTTGGTTTGTACTGCTCGTCTTTTACTCTTCTCCATCAGGATTATTTATATTTGCTTGTGCTCCAGGGGGCTAAAGGTGATGTAGGGGAGAAGGGTGACTCTGGCCCCCCTGGAACAGCTGGACCTCCTGGAACCAGAGGTTCTCCAGGAGAAGATGGACCCAAGGGCAACCTTGTGAATAAAATTAATGACAATATCTTGTTTTCAAGCCACTTCGGCTTTAAATGCCATTTATGATTGTTTTTAACTCTGTTTTTCTTCACAGGGTCCCATTGGATTTCCTGGAGATTTAGGGCCTCCTGGAGAACCAGGTGCCAATGTAAGGTTCATTTATTTAATATTTATCTAATCTACCATTAACCTCAAAAATTATTCTACAATGTATTTTCTTCAATCAGGGAGTTGATGGCACCCCTGGACCTAAAGGGGATAGTGGAGAACTTGGGAAAGCAGTAAGCAGAGATATACATAGATTAAAAAATTTGCATTAGACACCTGAAGCATATGTGTACAATCTCTTATAAGACTTATAAGTCCAATGTTTGATTTTGAGCAACAAGATGTTTTTATTTTAACATTTATCCGTTCATGCAGGGACCACAAGGAGCCTCTGGAGAGCCCGGTCCTCCAGGACCACCTGGTCGAAGGGTGAGATTTGTCTTTTTGAATAGGCATAAAACATGTTTAAATGGTAAATGGACTGTACTTACATAGCACCTTTCCATCTTATCAAGATACTCAAAGCTCTTTACACTACAACCTGTGTCCTCATTTATCCATTCATACAGCACTCTACTATATCTCTACAAAGCTAATCTGAATCCGTAGAGACTAATCAGTGCTTTAGATCACATTCATACACCAATGGGACACATATAGGAGGCAATGAGGGGTTCAGTGTCTTGCCTAGGGACACTTCAACACACGTCTGCTGGTGGAATCGAACCCCCAACTCTCCCATTGGAGGACGACTGCACTAACCACTCAGCCATAGCTGCCCTATTGACCATTAAACCCACATAACCATTTGATCTTTTATTATTTTGAGTTATTAGAACATGTTTCTGTCTCTACCCAGGGTCATGTTGGTGCTTCAGGAAAAGAAGGAAAACAAGGCATAAAAGGAGCCAAAGTAAGGATAAAACAATATATATATATATATATATATATATATATATATATATATATATATATATATACATACAGTACATATACCATAATGTCATACTATTTTAAATCCCTGTCCCTCTCCTCGGAAGGGTGCTACAGGAACTCAAGGTTTAATTGGAAAGACAGGCCCAGTAGGACCTCAAGGACCACCTGGAAGGCCTGGTCCAGAAGGGCTCCGAGGCATTCCAGGTCCTGCGGTAAGTACAAAGAAACCACAGAGGCTAAATATTTATTAAATACAGACTAAGCATATAAGGACTGATGAATGGATGCAATCCTTACTATTTTAAAGGGTGAACATGGGTTAAACGGACCACAAGGACAAACTGGACCACCAGGACCAATAGTAAGATACTTCATATGTATCTGAGGGCGAGATATGTCAGATCAAAGAGAGCACCAGTTGCATCTAAATATCAGTACAAAAAACCAGCAGTACTGTGTTTAACTCGTGTATGGCATTTATAACAGGGGCCACCAGGACTTCCAGGACTAAAAGGAGAGCCAGGGAAAAAAGGAGAAAAAGTAAGTAAAACAACAAACAGAGGGAAACTGTGCAGCTGTTAGAGCTCAGAGACATGGTGATTGATAAATGTGTGTCTGTATGCAGGGTCATGGAGGGTTGATTGGTTTAATTGGCCCCCCAGGGGAATTTGGGGAGAAAGGAGACCGAGGTTTACCAGGAATCCAAGGTTTACAAGGAACTAAAGGAGATGAGGTGCACAAATTTGCATCATAATGTGCCTGATTTACCTCACAAAAATAAAGTTAATAACAAAAGCTGTCTGTGCTCATTTCTAGGGTATACCTGGTCCACCTGGTCCCGTCGGCCCACCAGGTCAACCTGGGCTGTCTGTAAGTGGCTTAGCTGTTACAAGAGCAAGCTCTTCGAAATCCCTGGATGCATTTTCATGTTTCTACCTTTCACAGTGTGCCCTTTGAGATCGCCAAGTTCTGAAACCAACCCTCATGTTCAACGTTCAGTCCTAGCATTCACTTTTTATTTATTTCAGATAAGGTCTTGTAACAACAACTTGAAAACTTTGAAATGCAAAAAATTCAAGAAGCAGTGATAAACAGCACGCTGTTCTTCCTTAGCAAGTGTCTGGTTGACATTCTGCAGCATTTACTTGAATAATTAGTCAAATTATTTTTCTCCTTAATAGTTTTTATACATTTAATTTTACATTTTAGCACGTCTATACTTCTTATCTCTTCTCATAGGGTCCAGCTGGTGAGAAAGGATCGAAGGGAGAGCCGGTGGGTAGACTAATCAGTCTTATTTATGCAATGCCATTTTTATACTCACACCTCTTGTTGGGAAGCAGCTGCTAGGAACATATGCAGAGGACAAAGGAGAAAGTACATTTGTTAGCTTCAGTGTTCCATGCATCCTAATCACAATACCCTACTGTGTTTACTGGGCGTTTTGGAACTAAAAGCTTGCTGTACACTATGTGATTATTTTCATTGGTCCATTTTAATAGGATTTGGGTCTGGTGTGTGTGATGCTGTAAAAAAGCACTATAGCAGGCTTTGAAAGCCAAGGCTCTGACCACAGAGTGCTGATGCACACAGCTGGAAAATCCTATAAGCAGCAGCCGTACTGTACTTGCCTGGTTAAAGTCAGGATTTAGACAAGAGGTGTGAGAGAGACTCCCAGTGAGATGTGACTGATCCAGTCTCCTCTCTTCCTCTTTCTCCAGGGAGGACTTGGCGCCATAGGAGATCCAGGCCCTGCTGGCCATCCAGGACCCCCTGTGAGCACATCTTATGACCCTCTTCAGACTCATTTCATCCTGAATTTATCCTCCTAAATTAACTTTAACTACTTTTTCACCTGTCTGTCTTACCTTCAGGGACCACCTGCAACGGTGGTTCAGCCCCTGCTGATTTGGGATGGAAGTCGAAAGAAAAGAAGGCAGTCAGATCGAACAGACGGAGCTGCTGTGTCCAGGGAGGAAGATGTGCACTTTGGCACTGAAGACTTTCTTCAAGGAGATCAGCCTCTGGAGGATCCTGAGGGAATGGAGGAAGTCTTTGCTACCCTCTCGTCTATGAAAAATGAAGTGGATTTCATGAGGAGGCCTCTAGGAACATTTGAGAGCCCTGCCCGAACCTGCAAAGAACTGATGATGGTTCAGTCGAACTACAAAGATGGTTAGCAAAACAAGTTTTATGAATTATACTTAATTTATTTTCCCGCTGACGTTTTGTATAATCTAAAACTCACAAGTCTATTTAAAAATAGATTTAACACTCAAAATATGGTATATATGGTATTAAAATAAGTAAACTAAATCTGCTTATTATTTTGTGTTTAAAGACGTGTTATTTACCTCATGCTACATTTTAGGGGACTACTGGATCGATCCTAACCAGGGCTGCCACAGAGACTCCATTAAGGTCTTTTGTAACTTCACAGCCTTTGGAGAGACCTGTCTCTACCCGGACAAAAGGATTGAAATGGTGAGCCTCTATTCTTTTACTGACAGCTGTTAATAGTCAATTTTCTTGTTTTACAATATAAGATGGAAAATCACTCATGGTTTCTTAAACCAAAAACTTAACTCAATATATTTTCTCTTTTTGCTATTTATGCAGGTCAAATTATCAGCATGGGGCAAAGAGAAACCAGGAAGCTGGTTTAGCCAGTACAAGAAGGGCAAACAGGTATATTAAATGTAGAAAAAGTCAGTTATCACTTGTAAACACTAATCCCAGCTGGTTTATATTCCAGGCAATGTTTTTTCAGATCAATTACTCATCACAGTGAAGACTTTTTGAGTTTTCGGCAACAGACTGAGATTTTTTTTGCATGCATCTGTTTTGTATTCATGACCCCATATGAATGTTGTTCATAACTTTTGCGCCATGTAATTTGCTATTAAGTCATGTGATTGTGCGCAGTATAGCAGCTGCTGATTTCAGTCAGAATGATTCACATGAAGTCATTAGCAGCTGTGTCCCATTGACAAGTATTTGTGACTTCTCATGTGCAGCTGTTCGGAGGTGTTTTGAGCCTCTTAAAAGAAAAAAAGTTGTTTTGCGATTAAAAAAAAAAAGCCATTAGATTAAGTGATTCTGTTTCAAAAACAGTTTAATGTGAACAAATCACTTGTGTTTCCCTCCTTCCACTTCTGCACATTAACGCTCATGTTTGTGTGTCCATCAGTTCTCTTATGTTGACAGCAATGGGAACCCTGTGCATGTAGTCCAGCTGACCTTCCTGAAGCTTTTAAGTGCCACAGCCAAGCAGACCTTCACCTACACCTGTCAGAACTCGGCAGGCTGGTTTGACAGCACCTCCCACTCCTACCAGCATGCCCTCCGCTTCCGGGGTAGCAATGATGAGGAGCTCACCCAAGCCAAAAGCCCATTCATCACAGCAGTGCATGATGGATGCCAGGTCAGTGCTGGCATGTGTTCGACAAACGACTAGCTTGACAAACTGGAATTAGCATCAGTAAGACTAATGTGTTTGTCAGTAGTGCTGCTGTTTTCAGCTGGAATCACTATCGGAATAACCATTAAACTACAGACTAGATAACAGATCTGGGTTAGAGTGGGGGGCAAAGTTAGTGGAATAAAGCCAAGCGGATTCTGATAATGACTTTGATTTTTCTCTTTTAGTCCCGCAAAGGTCAGGAAAGGACAGTTTTAGAGATCGACTCCCCCTCGGCAGAGCTGCTCCCAATTATAGATGTGGCTCCAGCAGACTTTGGCAGCAACAACCAGAAGTTTGGATTTCAAGTTGGACACGTGTGCTTCACTGGTTAACATCAAACACACGAGACGTTTTCGGAGAAAATAAAAAAAAAAAGAAACTGGACTTTAATTTATGCCTGCCCCAAACAATATTTATAATGTTGTGTTGTATGTGGTCACTTTGCAGTGTAATATTTAAACTTTTCAGCAGCCATTGCAATCTTCACGGATTTCAAAGAATAGTAAAAATGGAAGATATGCAACAACCGGAAAGCACAGTTACCAATAGGGAATTATTGCTGTTAAAATTTTTACAATATAATTTTTTTTCTTAATTTTTTCCCTCAGTATTTTAATAGGACATGATAGATCTGCTGAAATTACAAGGACTGCAAAACTTATTTGACAGTTGTAAACAAATAGATCTGTGTTGGTCTGTTTTACTGTTTTGAACACTTAAAACGGAGACAGAGAAATTCTGATTGTACAACTCATTTGCATGCTTGGATTTCATTGTGAACTAGCAAAGGATATTAATTCCACACAAGCACTCTAATTAATTTCCTGTGTAAGGATGATAAATTGTTCGTTTTTTACCCTTCAACTGCAGTTTGCTCAGTGAATTACCTTGTTTTGTATTCATTAAGAACTGCGAGCTGTTGAACCCAACATTTACTTAAACAAATAAGGTTGCTTCCTTTATTAGACTTCGTCCCTCTATGTGCTAAGTAATCGGCTTTTTGAGCCCTCCATGTTTCCACAGTATTGAGTACTGTATGTATCAGAGTAAAATCCTTTCAACAGTGCTGTGACACACCCCAGGATATAAAAAGCAATAATTCAAGGCATGAATTAAAAGCATGCTGATTAAAATGTTCTTTAGTCTAAACTGCAGTTCCACACACCAAAATACATTGTATACATCTCCTCAATTCCTTTTATAATTGCTGACACAACTTGTTTTTTAGTTTTTATATTTTTTGCTTGACTCAGAGTTTTTGTGTGTATGTGGATTTTTTTTTTCTTCCTTTGTTGTTCATATGCTGAAATTTAAACGGAATACATTGCTATTCTGGCACAATTTTGTGGTGCTACAGATAATTCTGTTTGTGTTTATTTTTGTGTGTGTAACTATGTTTGTGTGCCTCTGTGGGCATGGTTATAGGACCAGAGAGTGAGAGGGTTATTGCTCTTTCAGCAGCCTGAAACACTCCGAGAGGTTGGGGACTTCTCTTCTGTTTTTGTTGCACATCTTCTGGCTGATTGTGGCATTTTCACAGAGCCAGCAAAAGGAGGCTTTGAACAGCTCCGAGCAACACGGCTGATTCGTTTTAAGAGAAAATCACCAGTTAAATTAATTTTGACTTTCTGGTCATCTAGTGCAGGGGTCTGCAACTGTTACAATCAAAAGAGCCATTTCTGCCCCTTGGTTCACTAAATTAAACATGTCCGGAGCCACAAAACCTGTTACAACTGTGATTCTCAACTGGTGGCCCGCGGACCACTTTATGTTTGTTGGAGGATGCTTTCCTTGCCAGTAGGGTGACATTATAAAGCTGAAAATATCTAATGATCTTTAACTTTTGTTGATATTTTTACATTTTAAGACAAAATTAAAGATAAAATTATTGTAAAGAAGAAAAATAGTATATTAAAGTTCATGCTTAATGATACAGATAAAAAATGCAATAAAGTTAAGTCAGGTTCTCTGGACAGTTTCTTTTTTTGTTTAAATATTTCGTCCTTCATCCAAAGGACTTCATCAGTCCGAGGAGCCTCAACAAACTCACTCCCATAAGTGGCTTGCTTGCATAGTGGGCCAACCAGTTTGATGGTGATAAGATGGTTTCTGGAGTCCACCTCTCCCCCGTCAACTGCCTTTGGCTACCTCAGAGGAGTCAACGGGAGAGGGCGGACTCCAGAAATCATCTTATCACCATCAAACTGGTTGGCCCACTATGTGATTAAGCCACTTATGGGACTGATTTTGTTGTGGCTTCTCGGACTGATGAAGTCCTTTGGATGAAAGACGAAACGTTTTAACACAAAGAAACTGTCCAGATGACCTGACTTAACTTTGTTTAAAAATAATATAGTTTTGCCAAAAAAAAAAAAAAACTAAAACAATATGCAGCTCTATGCAATTCTTTTTTTATTGTGGAAAAATTAAGAATCCTATTTTGAAAAAATAAAGCATACAATTAAATTGAAAATGTTTTATTCCTTGTATTAGTTCTAGTATTTACATATTTGCAAAGGAAATGACAAGAAAACTGCTAAAACTATCCCTTTTTGTTGTGATAAGAACCAATAAAATTCAGTTTTAACTTGGATTATTGAGCATGCATCAGGAAGTTTTAACTTGGTTTTGGTCAAAGCTTGAAAGAGCCACTGCAGAGGGATCAAAGAGCCACATCTGGCTCCAGAGCCGCAGCTTGCAGACCCCTGTTCTAGTGATTTTAGAAGGTAAATGCATTTTCAAAAAACAAAGAAAACAATCTTTAAATTTTTTTATTGCAAAAACTGCAGCTAAAACAATAAGCTTAGAAAGTTTGATCCATTATATTCTTGATTAGATTTTTTTTTTTTTTTTTTGTAAACTGGAAGTTATCCAGTTATTATGGGTGCTGATATCACTCTGCATTTGAAATTTAATTATTCACTGTCTGCAGAGTAATCCTCAGGATTTTTTTAGGTGATGTATAATTGCTCCAGCTTGTTAATACTGACTTAAAAACTCTTCTTTGAATTGGCAAATTGATTTGTAACATAACAGAAAAAACATGTGTGAATTATATGTTATGGCTGATTTCACATCTAGAACATGAAATATCTTAATTCTACCTCTTCTGACTCAAATAGTAGCCTGTGTATACAGCATGTATAATTATGCCATTCAGTCCTGCTGCTCTGTTCATTTCATAGCATTTAAGCAGAACAGTCGTCTCCTCCTCATGCACCGCCCTTACTGTGTATAGTCTTTGTTGTACTAAATTTATATACTGTACAGTTATTATTTGGATTTTAAGTTCAATACAATGGTGCCTAAATAATAAATAAATGTATATGTCAAATGTTGATGTGCAAAGGAAAAAAAAAACTACAATAAAACAACCTTTTGGGGGTTTTCATCTTTAAACTCCAAATGCAAGTTAGAAAAGTGTCCACCCTGTCTACATTTGACTGTCTGCTTTGTTTGCTGACAATCTATCAGAAATTTTGGTACAACTATGCAAGCTGCAATCACAAACCTCACAAAATCGATGCAATGGACTCTAATTTACTCCCCAGTTCATTTATTTCAATTAGCTTCGTTTCAGCTCTGCAGTTAGGAGACACATGCAAGGAGGTGAATGGTGAGAACCAAAATTAGTTTTTAATGAAATTATTGCTTTTAAAAAACAGATCTGAAATTTTGTTCAATTCAGTGAAATAAGAAAGAGATGTGGAGACTCAATGATACACTTGTACTGTTTGTATACACACATACTGAAACACCCACCTCTTCCCTCCCACACACACACATGCACACACACTGCTCTCACATCATAGTACAAGAATCTCATATCCTTTAGGGACCATTGTTCAAGGTTAGCATCAATGTCAAAATAAAGGTTACCATGTTTTTCTTTTCCATTCCTACTCTTTTCCACTAAATTGAATTTTAACCACACTAAGCTCTTGACCAGGAAAGGTCATGTGTTTCCACTAACTTAGAATAATGATAGCAGGAGAGCAACGTGACTGGCAGACTGGTGCAGTATTTCAACAACGCAATGGTCTTTTTTTTCTGGTCCACATAAAATTCTGAAGTGGTTCTCCATTTCTGTGACATAATTCAGTTTTTATATGTTGTGCCTCGTTCATTTGCATCTAAAATAAGTCAAAATAATAACCTATCTAAAAAAGTTAAATCTGGTCCTCTGGACATTCAAGATACAAGGATGTGAAATTGTGACTGTTTTTTGAATGTCCAGAGGACCAGATTTAACTATTTTAGATTTTTCTACCTGGATAATTGAGCATGCATCAGGATATTTTGAATCAAAATGATAACCCATCAAAATTGAGTTATCAGAATCTCATTTCTTTAAAAAAATCCACTGAGTCCAGATTTTTCTTTACAAAGATAGAAATTAGTGCAAGCTGAGGGATGAGAGGAGTTTTTCATCCAGATGACTGGAGGGCACACATCTGTCAAATGCTTTGGGAAACTCACGGAATTGTTATTTCAAGTAACCAAACTGTCTTTTTATGTTAATCAGTTATCAAGAAACAATAAAAAAGGAAACAATCTTTGAATATAATTTTCACAGCTTTAAATCTGTGCTTCAAAAAGCAAGTGACATATTTGTATGTTGCTTTGATCTTTGTTGTTTATGTGTCACCATTGTTAAAATCATATAAAAAAAATGTATAACGCTAAGGCTAAAGTCGTAAAAATAAAAAATCAGAAAACAGATGAATCAATAACAAAGGTTTTATGTCATTTAAAAAGTCTATCATTAAAGAACCAACTAGATGATCCTTTTAAATGTCATTTGCCAATAATCAGTATCCACTGTCTTTATATGTTGTTTTTGATCCAATCTAAACAGAACAGTGTAAAAATAATGATTATTAATCACATGAAGATCAGATACTGTTATTGTGCTTTTAGAGAGTAGAGGGAGTAAAGACAGCAGCTGTCTAAGTCTATAGCAGGAAACTGAAGCCAATATTAAATATAGGATTTATCAAAAAGGAAAGTCTTAAGCCTGGTCTTAAAAGTAGACAGGATATGAGCCTCAAGGCTTTGAATGAACAGTTCAAGCAAAAATACAAGCCGAACCAACATTCATTGTGGCTGTGTTAACACCATTTCAAAAATGTGACACATTAAATGGAAGATGATGTGCAAATTGTGATATATTCAAGAAATTTGCAATTATTTTTCCAAGTTGTGTCATCTTTAAATGAGAGGTGTTTGTTTGAGCAAAGCTTTCAACCAGCTCTGCTCTGCTGTCCATGCAGAGTCCCAATAATGATTTGAACAGAAAAGTGAGTCTATAGCTGGCACTGACGAGCTACTT